CTTCTGTGCGGCTCAGAGCAGCCATGCAGAAAGGACGAGACAGGAAAAGAGCACAGGAAAGAGCGTGTAGACACTGACCTGCAAGACACAGGGCCCAGCAGGCTACAGCAGGCACTCAGTGGAGGGGGTGTTGGGGGCAGGTGAACGCACTGAGGAGCTTCCCACCCTGGCAGGCAGTTAACCCCATCCCTGACCCAGGTGCTGACTCACAGGCAAGTCTGGAGATGGGCTGGCATCGTCGTCCTGGCCACATGTGCTGCTGAAGGCCCTGAAGGTCTCACTGTTCTGCTTGTGCCTCTCGATGGTGGCCTGAATGACCTGTACACGGCAAAGTCCCAGGACTGTCAGAGCTGGGGGGACTTGGACGCTGTAGAGGGACGTGCCTGGCTCTGCCCGAGGATGGAGTCTAGGTGTTCACGAAGCATGGCCCAGGCCCCTGACCATCATATGTTTTCTAACCAATGGTGCAGGTTTTCCCTGGAGCCTTCTAGGTTGAAAAGACCACTTTGGAGAGTTCCATCATGAGCTCTTCTGGTTCATTAACGTCTTCATTAATATTTGTGATTTTATTTTTAGACAAGGTCTCACTAAGTTATTCAGGCTGGCCTTGAACTTGTCCTCTTGCCTCAGCTTCCCATTTAAGGCTCATTCATTTCTATTGATTTACATAAGGAGGGGGCTCAAACTGGCAAATAGATTGAAAAGCTCAGGTCATCTGAAGGTGCATACAAAGGCAACCACAGTCGTGGCCTCATACCAGGGCAGGACATGGGGCCAGGCAGTGCTGGGGGCGGCACGGGGCCACCCCTTCTCTCTGTTTCAATGTGAAATGGCTACTGCTCAGTAACTTGGGGATTTGGTTATTTCAAAACGTTAGATACTTCACCTACCCGAATCCATTCTTTCTTCTCTTCTTCTGTCCTATAAAAACAAAAAAAGTACTTTTGAATCCAGTCTGGGATACTGACTGTAAACTCCCAGGTTCCTTTCAGTCTTGAGCTGACACCTTATCTGATTCACCTGAGAATTTGAAAGTTTGGCCTGTGTCCCCTGACTAGCTGTGCAGACTCCCTGCAGCGATGTAAACCAACACCTCCCTGGCCCCCAACTGAAAATTCCAAAGCCCTCAGGTCATTGGTGGCGTGGAAGGCCAGACTTCCCACACAATGCCAGTCAGAGCCTGGCCTTAAAAGTTTAAAGTGACGCTGGGCGTGGTGGTGCGTGCCTGTAATCCCAGCACTCTGGAGGCTGAGGCAGGAGGATCGCTGTGTGTGAGACCAGCCTGGGCTACATAGTGAGACCCTGTCTCAAAAAACCAAAACCAAAAAAAAAAGGTAAAATGACCACAGCCACCGAAATTTAGGACAGCAACTCTGGTCAGCAAGTCTGACGTCAGATATACCTGACGAACACCTCGACACACGCACCAAAGCCTGAGAGTGAGAATGCAACAGGCAGCCGCACTGGCAACAGCAGGACCCAGGAGGAGGCTAAATGCCTGCCCGTGGGAACTGGTTAATGATCATGAGGGAGAATTTTTGCTGCTTTAGGAAATGGTGTAAGGACATGGGATGATTTCTGAGAAATCTGATGAAAAAAGCAAGATGCAGAAACAGGCTGTCCAGCAGCAGCCACCTGTGATATGGTGTGTGTGTGTATACACATCTGTGATGCTCACACAGCAGCAGATACTCTCGAGCCCCACACCATACCGAGTCTGAAGCTCCAGGCACCTTTTCCTTCCAGTCAGGATGAATGTATGCGCTGCATTTGGCTTCACAATATCCTGTACCTGAAGAACAAAGAACAAAACACAAACCAACACAAGCCAATCGCATTAGCTCTTCCTGGACACCAGCCTCGTGTTCTCGGATTTGGAGGTTTGCCCCTGGGGAGGCGTCAGAAGTGACCCAGCGGACTCTCCCGTCTGTAGGGAGAGGACATGGAGGCTCAGGGTCATGGTGGCCGATGGAGGCCACCACATGGGCTGGTCATGGGGGATGTAGGCTGGGACCGCCCCATCCTCTGTGCCTGGCACACTGCGGGCCAAACCCTCGGCCCAGCAGGCCTTCCCTAGAAGTTGCCCCCAGCCAGCCCTGCTCCCACCTTTCCCACCAGCACTGCTGGGCGCCACCTCTCTGCAGGAGCTGCACCCACTTAGCAAGGATGAGGCTCTTACGAGAAGGGCCAGGAGGGCCCCGGCCAGCCTGTGACACCTGAGCCCACATGGGCAGGTGCATCCTCGGTTTAAAGACACAAGTAAGAAAGCATGCATCCAGATGGAAGTGATGCGGCAGAGACATTTCTTCCTGAAATCTCAGATTCCATCCTCTTGACCAGCCCACAGACGGCAGTTCTGGCGTTCCTGGGGGTCCTTGAGCTGAGTCCCATCATAACGTCCAGCCCTCAACTGGCCAGCCAGTGACTTTAGGGAGATACACACCCTGGACCCTGCCCAGAACCTCTGGACTTTTCCAACCTCAGGCTGAGAATTATATTGATGTATCAAAGTCATTAAAACAAGACTAATTCTTATAAACACAGGGAAATGGTTTCTTCTAACTATGGAAAAGGTTTTGTTTTCTCCAGGCATTGCTTATGATTGTTTTTAATTCACCTGGATTCAGAGAATTTCAAGGGAAGTCGAAATCGTTGGGAATCGTTTAAGCAAACTTTTACTTTTTCAAATGATTAAATATCTTGATTTAACCACATTTTTTGAGCACCTGTTAATTCAAAGCTCTCATCGGGGATAAAATTCCAGCCTCCGTTGCTATGAGACATGAAACAGGCTCATGGGATGGGGGAATAACAAAAACACACAGGTGCTTAAGAGCCCTCTTCTGGCTCTGAGACAGTACAGGAGAGGAGAGATCCCGAGCCTGGGATCCAGGCTGGGCAAGCAGCCCACGCCCCAATCCAAATCTGCCCCTTTACCCAAAAGACACCAGTGGGTCTCTAAGTAGGGCCTGACCTCTACTACTGCCTACCGTCCCCAAAGCTGTACATTTTAGTTTTCTGACAACCTCCTATCTCCACTCATCCTTCAACATGAGGCCATTAGGGACCTGGCAGATGGGTTAAACCAGAGAGTGGATAGTCCTGCTTACATTAGGCCAAGATAATATCCCGGCAGCCCTTTGGTCACAGACGGAGTTGCTGGCCAGAGCTTAACATCCCTAGTGCTGCTTAATGACCCTTTGGTGTATGAAAGCTTTGGGAGAAAGGGCTCACCCACCTGAAGACCAGAGATGTCCATCTTCTCCCGAACACTGAACTTCTGTCCCATGAGCCGCAGTTTGGGCACACAGTAGAGGACCATGCTGTTGAACTGCAAGAGGGTGGCATGGTGAGGGGCCTGGGAGATGCTCACCTAGGACCCTTGTGAGGTCTCCTCTAAGGTCATTTTTAAAAAGATGTGCACAGTCATTTTAATTATGTTTACATCTCTGAGGCAAGAGACTGTGACGACGTTTTTATTTTTGGTCAGTTCCTATTTTTTACTTTGCCACATGCACATGGCTAATTGTGTAATGAGGAAGCAAACCTTGCTTTTGTGTGTGTGGTATCGGGGATCCAACTCGGGACCTTGAGCTTGCGAAGCAGGTGGCAGAACCACTGAGCTCAATTCCTGGCCCATGGAAGCAAACCTTTTGAATGAGCTACGGATGCACACACAGACACAGGGATGGATCACAAACAAATAGGCCAAGTGAATGAAGCCAGATGCATCTCATGGCATTTATGGGGTAAATGGAAAAGTGAAACTAGAGAAATAGAGAACAGATCAGTAGTGGCCAGGGGTCTGGGGTTGAGTAACCACACAGGGGCAGGACGAGGAAACTGGGGAGGAATAAGAATTGTGTCTCTTCTAGCTGTGCCAGGTGCCTTCTCATTGTAATTCCTTCCTGTCTTTTCCCCTTGCTCTAAGCCAGGGTCTGGTCCTGGGATAGCTGAATCAAGATGTGCCGCTACAGCCAAAGGCTGAGACCACGGCAGCAACTGGAGCAGAGCTGCTGACAAAAGAAGGTGCCAGCGGTCCTAGTAGGACAGGAAGTCCACAGCTGATCCTGCCTTTGGGCCACTGAGCCCTGCCAGTACTGCCCAGGGCCTGAGGGGGCAGGCAAAGGAGCTCTGGGGCTGGACTGGCAGCTGGGCTCACCAGGAAGAGGTGGCGATCCTGGGCGGTGCCGTTTTTGGCCGACAGCTTCTGGATGTGGCCCTCCTTGATCAGCTCATTGGCCGGGTTAACGATGTCTTCCTCCCCACCCAGTTGCTCATACACCTCCAGGAGCTTGTGCATTTTCTCCTGCAAGAGACATGGGGTCGAGCAGCGGCCACTGGGGGCACAGAGCCAAGTGGAACAGAATGGAGCGCAACACCAGGAAGCACTTGAGTCAGACACTGAAGCATGCACAGAGAATAACAAATAATAATATAACAGCGTTTCCATTGCAGTGTGTCAGTGCGATTCTATACACAATACGTGCTTTAGCTCACTGAATTCTATGAGATGGACACCATTATTATTCCCACTGTACAGACAAAGAAACCAAGGCATGAAGAGGTCAGTCAAAGGGCTATGATCCAGACTGGGCTAATCTGAGTGTCACTTCCCACGTCATGGTGATTGGTAGGGTGATCACATGGCCAAACAGTACCCTCTAGTATGAAGGAACAGGGTCAGCAGCTCATGGCCCTGGCCCTGAGCTGGAAGATAACACAGCAAAAGGTAGGATCGAACCTGTAAGGACCTCCACAGTAGCAGCAGGCTCTGATCTGGACTTGCTGTGCCTTGGCAGCTGTTGCCCTTGGACTTGAGTAATTGCAACTGTGTGCCTGGAAGCAGGTAGTTTAGGGTAGCCCTGCTGTCTGTGCTGGCAGGGCAGGGTTGAGGACTTCGTGGGAATTAGGGTGAATAGGCAGGCACCTGGTGTAGGTGCAGAGGCCCTCAGTGTGCTGGCTTACACCTGGCATGTCCCAGGGAGGCTGTGCTTATACCTGGCAGGTACTGGGGAGGTTGGGCATGCATTTAGCCTGTACTGGGTGGGGGGACTCAGCATACACATGCATGGCTTGTACTGGGGGTGCTAAGCATGCCCCTGGTATATACAGGGGGGCTAGGTATGTCCCAGTAGGTACTGAGGGAGCTGGGGGTGGAACTGATGTGTTCTAGGGGTGCTGGGTGTCCACCTGGTATGTAGTGGAAGAGGGTTAGATGTGTACCTAATATTCATGGGGGAGCTAAGTGAGAGCCTGGTGTGTACTGGGGGAACTGGGTGGGCTTCTGATGTGTACTGGCATGTACTGGGGAGGGCATGCACAGGACCAGCACATGAAAAGGATGCCGCACTTCTAGGGAGTGAACAGTGATGACAATCATGAGAGCTAACCCTTATTACACTTGTTCAGAGCACACTGTATATAGTAATTCTTTCAATCCCCATGAAGCCCAAAGAGACTAGGTCTGTCAGGGCCTCTATTTCAAAGATGGGGAAACTAAGGCACAGAGTGCTAAATAACTAACCAAAGACTATAGATCTAATAAGAAGCATGCCTCTCCAGCTCGAGTTGGAGTCCCTAACTACCCTGGGGACAGGGAGAAGGTGACACAGCCCACCCACTCTTGCTTTCTCTGTTCTACTCTATACCTCTCTCCAGCAGTGGACTCACCATTTTCCGTATAGCTGCGTTGGAGTGGTTGGCGGCTGTGGAGATGAGCTCCAGGGACCCTGCACGAGAAGGACCCGGATCAGCCGGGCAGGTGGGGGCTTCGCACATTCTCACCCAAGAGGCTGACTCTGGAGCTCAGGCAGCTGCCCCTGGTGAGGAGGCGCTGTCCCTGCATGAGGCCTTTCTCAGGGTGTCCTGGCTCTCCCACACCTGGCCCTGGGACAGGGTGAGGCCTGAGGCCCTGCAGATATGCGCCCCTTGCTGGAGATGCACTGGGGCCAATACCACGTGGGAACCCCACGCTCCGGCACAGACTTGGGTCCTTGTGGACCCAGCACTGAGGCCTAAGCTCTGGACAGGGAATGTTTGGCAGCACTTTCACTGAAACCAGCATCTAGTCAAAGGCCAGGCAACGGGATTTTCCTTTACTCTTACTCACTATGTCACTCACTGACCTGTTGAGGGCCGGTTTCCTCTGTCCTCCCTTGATGTCTCTGTGTCTATGATTCTGTCTCTGTCTCTCTCCCCTCCATCTCCCTGTCTCCTTGTGTTTCTATCTCTTTCAACCTCTCTCTCCCTCCACTGTCCTCCTGTTCCTCTGATTCTGTCTCTCTCCACTCTGTTTCTCAGTCTTTCTCTGAATCTCTCTCCTTCCTCTCTCTCTGTTTCTGTCTCTCTGTCTCCCTAATCTTTGTGCCCGTGTCTCTTTCCTCCTTCTCTTTTCCCTCCCACAGAGTTCACAGCAGATTGCCCTCACCCTCCGCTCAGGACCCCTCAGCCTGTGGCCACCCCCACTCACTCTCAGCATCCTTGCGGTCTGGCGCATCCTCAGGGAGCCTCCTCAAGTAGTCATTAAGAAGCAGCTCGTAGCGGGGAACCCTCTGGACGGGCTCTAGCATGTGGTGCTGCAGCGTCAGGTTCCCACACACTTCCTGCTTCTGCAAGACAGAGGGCAGCATGGGCGGGTACCGACACACATGTGACCACCACAGCCCCAGGAGGTTTCCCAGAGCTGACTGCTCTTTAAGACCCAACCAGCACGTTCACCATTTACAACGGGGAAACTGAGGCTGAAGCAGCTGAACAATGGCACCATAATCACAGCCCAGTGGGCTGACTCTAGACTCACAGCTTGCTCTTTACACACCTCCTCTTTGCAGAACATAAAGCAGGGACAAGACTGCTTCCTTCTGCAAGACTACATTCACCATGGACTGGAGCTGAGGTCCTATCCCTCTCTGCTGGGAAACGGAGCAGAGCTTCGCCCAACTCACCCTACAGAGAATCAGGTCAAGGACTCTGCTGGTGCCTGAGAGTTCTCTCATGGGAAACACAAGCAGGGGCATTTGAGCAGGCAGGTAGGACTCTGTGACCCTGGTGTCGAGGGTCTGCCCCACCTCACTAGCGGCTCCCACGATTTCCCACTTCTTTCTGAGTCGCAGTTCCCTCTCCCAGAGCCCTAGCAGTGACTTGCTGCTCCCTTGCATAAGGTAGACCCTTAATCCCATTACAGCCCCAGACATGTACAAGGGGCTATCAGAATATACAGTGATTTACAGGGATTTAGCTCAGTGGTGCCACTGTCTGCCTCACAAGCACAAGGTCCCGAGTTTGACTCCTGGTACTAAAAAAAAAAAAAAAAATCCCTTTTAATATACAGTGACTGTTTCAATTCTAAAAGTTTATTATGGTAAAAGACACACTGCTATTAGCCCTCTTCAAAACAGTCCCCGCTTTTCCAGCACGCTTACCCCATCCTTCTTGACAGTTTCTGAAGCAATTTTGAAAGTCCCCCTCTTACATCTTTATAAGGTGTGACCAAAAATACAGTGATCACTGCTGCTGAGCGCCATCCAGTGGGGAGGCAGGCTCGTAAAGAGCATTACCACGTGTCCTCATTCCCCTTACTCACCAGAACTGGAACCATGTGACCTCTGGCTCTTCCTCAACATCAAAATGACCAAACACAGATACATATGTGGAATCAACTGAAGACACCGAGGCAGCCAAGACAGCTCAACCAAAAACCCTAATGAGAGGAGCCTTCCAGAACTGCCTCAGAAAGTACCAAGAACCACGGGAGAAGTTTGTTCAAAGCAAGGGGAAGTCCTTCGAGGAGGGTTCATGACAGGGAATCAGTCACTGTAATGATTTTTTAAAAAATTAACATTCACTGTAGATTTTGATCATGCTGCAGCCCCTTTATCTCCTCCTCCCCTGGCAATGCTCATTTAAAGCATCTTGGCTTTACTCTTTAATCTTGGCTAAGAGGGCCCGCTGTTTCAGTCCCACTGGCCACCAGCTTCTGCCATCCTCCCTACCGGCCTCTGGAGGGCCTCAGTCACCTTTACCCACTCCAGGAAAAACAATTTTCAGCTCAGGTAAGCTCAAAACTGCCCTTGATGTAGCAGGGCCAGTAACTTCCTACTTTGCAACCTTTGTGAAAACAACTGCTTCAGACAAGAATCATCAAGTGATGAAGAGGAACAGGATAGTTACATGATCTAATAGTATCCCCCCACACAATACACAAAAAAACTATGAGTGGAGAGTGAAGAATCTGACTTCACAGTGGAGAGGCCAGGCAGGCCACCCGTAATCAAGTGAGAATCCCCAGAAATGGGACAAGTGGAAGATGTGTGAGGCCAGGCAGGGCCCAGTGAGAACATGGCATCATCTAGTAGAACCCAGTCGAATGCACAGCCTGCGCCAGATCATGGATGAACAGCAGACAAACCCAGCCTCCCCCAGAGGAGACAAGGACAGAGGCCTTGACGAAAGAGGACAAACTTGATAATGAACATGATGGGTGATCTTGGGTTGGGTTTTGAAACAGAAGGAAAAAAAAAAGAGTCATTGTGATAACTGGTGACATTTGAGTACAGGCTGTGGAACAAATAGAACTGTGAGATCAGTGCCAAAATTCTCGATTTTGATCACTGTACTGTGGTCATGCTGCAGAATATTCTTACCTGCTTTTAGCAATGAAGGGCTACAATATCAGCAACTAAGTCTCAAGAAACTCAAAAATAGTCATATGGATGTGTTTAGAGAAAAAAGTAAACAGGGCACAATTTATCTGTATGCCATTTTGCAACTTTTCTGTAAAGGTTTGAGATTATTCAAAAATAAAAGTTTCATTAAGTTAAAGTAAGCTTTGGGTTGAACAAAGGAAACCTTCCGAGACCATGGGAAACTTGACCACGACCTGATCCCATTCGGGCTGTGCCAGGGTTTCTCAGCCTTGGCCAACATTCAATAGGGGTGGAGAATTTTCTGCCATGAGCCATCCTGAGCACAGCAGGGCATCCCCATCTTCTGCCCACTGAATAACAGAAGCAACATCAATGTCTACAGACAGGGCCCAAGTCCTTGGGACATTTCACCTGCCAAGAATGGCTGTGCTGTGCTGAGGCTGAGGTACAGGGCATTCCCGTGGCCTGCTGGGTCCAGCACCTGGTGTCTACCCACCTAAAGGACACAATGGTCATCAGCCAGACTGTGACCAGAGGCTGTATCCACCAGCAAGTGTCCCCAGGCAGACGCTGTTCCGTACGGTGCAGTGCCAGTGTGCCCCAGCTTGATGGGCAGTGTGGGAAGAAAAGCACGTGAATCCTGACTGTGTCTTTTGGTTTCTGTTCTAAAACAACCAAACCAAATATCAACTGGCCAATGCAAATTTAGACAGAGTTCAACTTCCTCAGTTATAGCATTATGATGATGTCGAAGACAGCGACAATGACGACAGTGATGATGAAGGAGGAGGAAGAGGAAGAGAAGAGAAGAAAAGTAGCAAACGTAAGCTTCGGGACTAAGGATACCTGGGTCATTTGGAGCAAGAGTCAGGGGAAACTGGGGGACCCCAGCCAAGGTCTCTCTGGATAATTTACAGCGCGCTGGCAAGAGACTACAAGGAAAGACACCTATGCAACTCATCTCCTCCTTAGGGCCGCACTTGCACGGCCTACAGGATCCATCCTCTCAGAAACCCACTTGGGCTGGCTCCTGCTGCTTCAGGGGCCTAGCTGTCACCCAGCTGTGCGTGGCTGGACCTGCTCCCACCGTGCAGCAGCACAGGCTCCCAGACAGGTGACACGAGAGTCCTGAGGCAGCTGATGTGTCAGTAAAGGTGGAGCCTGGAGGTCCACATCCTGTGAACCACAAACACTAACTTGTGCTGCTAGGCCCCAATTACCCATCTGCAAAGTAAGTGATAATTTATCCCTGGGGGTCATTATGAAAATCAAAGCTTAAATAGAGCATCTGGACATGTCCCATAATTTTACTGATTTTCTATGTCTCCAAATTACAATGAACTCATCTGCTACTTTTGGATGTACAAAAATACATCCTCTCCCTCTCCCTCTCCCCCCCACCCCCTCTCACATACACACATGCCCAGGTACATGGGTCTTGAGGCTGTCTGCATGCAGCCACCTACCTGGATGCCGTGCACAACTTCCTTAAAGGGCGGAGAGCGCTGGATCCACGTGCTCACCAGCCCCACTGCCCGGTCAAAATTCTTGACATACTCGCCGTACATCTTCAAAAATGGGGCCAGCTTCTGCAGGATGTCCCCAAGCCGGGGATTTGTGTCCCTTGGTGGGGAAGAAAGGTCATCAGAGAAATAGCCTGGTTAGGACAAGGGCTCCTGAGGTTAGGGGACATGAACTTCACCAGGGGCAGACAAGGGCCTCTCAGCACTGTGTGGTGGTCACACATTGTTCACCCTCTCTGAGCCTGTTTCTTCCTCTGTGCCATATAGGGTAGAATATGATGTGTTACTGGGAGATCAAAGATTAGGATGCCAGGGGCGGGGATTTAGCTCAGTGGTTCTGGTGACTGTCTCACAAGTGCAAGGACCTGAGTTCTATCCCCAGTACCAAAAAAAAAAACCCCAAAAAAAAAAACCAAAAAGATTAGGATGCCAGCTGGGTCTAGTGGTGCATGCCTGTAATTCCAGCATTTTGAGAAGCTGAGCCAAGAGAATCACAAATTTGACCCAATCCAGGCAATTTAATGCGTTGGTATCAGGATTGAGCTCAGGGCCTTCACAGTGAGCTACATCCCCAGTCTTTTTTTTACTTTTAACTTTCAGACAGGTTCCTGCTGAGTCAATACGTTACCCAGGCTGACCTTCAACTTGGGTGCTCCTGCCTCAGCTTCCCAGTTTGTTGGGATTACAAGCATGTGCCACCACACCTGGCTCATTTTGCACCCTTTAACAAGCAAAGGTTAGAAACAGTGATTCTATCGAGTGTTGCCAAGGTCACAGGAAGGGTAGCCCTTGGCAATATTGATAAGACTTACTGCTGTTTTGGGACAGGGCTTTACAGATAAATTCTAAGTGAAAAACATTAATAGCCTTTTCTGTTAGAACACTTTACTGGAGATTTACTCTAAGTGAACAACCAAAAACAAAGGGAAAAAAAATCCATAGGCACCAAGCCATTGCTATGAGTTCCTACCACAGTGCACAGAAACAGGGTAGGGTGGGTAAGGGGTTGACCTTCTGTGCCACTGTCATAAAAGGAGCGGAGGAGGCCACACACACATCTATGGTTGAGTCTCCAGGGCCTGGAAGAAGGAAAGCCTGTGTCCACTAGATGTGAGCTTTGTCAGCCAGAAGATCCAGACCCAGCCCTGACCACCTTGCAGACACAGTGTAACCTGCTCTGCAACTGGATCCTTTCCTTCTGAAGATTCACAAAGTGACCCGGTCCTGAGCTCCTGGTGAAAACACTGGCTCTGGGCCCAGGGGACACCTTGGGGAAGCCAGGGCTTCAAGGGACCAGACAGCAAGGGCCCTAAGCAAACTTTAGGTGTCCCAGCATGGGTGCAGGGTGGGTAAAGAGAGAAACGGTGATGGATCATTAGTTCAACTGCACCTAGCTAAGAATGGGCAGAAGTGGAGAAGGGGCAGGAGGAGGAGGACCTGCAGTGCACCATCAAGGCAGAGGTGGCCTATGTGCTAGGAGGGAAAACAAAACCAACTAGCTTTTCTTGTTCACTGTTTTTGTTTCCAGACACAAAAAGTCACTTACTTAAATCCCTCTAAATGTATTCTGTGTCATCAGCTTCCTCAGACTCTAAGGCTTGGAAACACTGAGAGGCTGGTCAAGATCACCCACCAGGAAAGGATGGGGCTGGGATGGTACCCAGCACCACGCAGGGAAGAAAGGTGCGTAGGTCACCATGAGACAGTCCCCCAGGTGCCCTCCTGAATTCCAGGCACAGCAACTGCAGTTGAGGGGCCCCAGGGCTCTCAGGCAGTGTGGACAGTACTCACCACTCCTCTGTGATCCTCGTCCGCAGCTCAGGCAGCAAGAACTGCCCATGGAAGCGATAGATGGAGGAAATGTTAGAGAAGATACCGGTAGTGATTTCTGCAGGGATCCCCGCTTCTGTCAGCCTGGTGCAGAAAACCTGGGCATAGAGAAGCCCATGGTGGTCACTGAGTGTGGTCCACTGTGCATAGTGATGCAGGAAGGGCACTTGGGCAAGGCCCTACCTCATGCTTTCCATTGTTTCTTGTTTGTTTGTTTTTTTGAGACAGGATCTCACTACGTATTTGAGACTGACCTGGAACTCACTATGTAGCCCAGGCTGGTCTCGAACTCACAGCAATCCTCCTGCCTCAGCCTCCCGAGTGCTGGGATTACAGGCGTGCGCCACCACGCCTGGTTCTACCTCATACTTTCTTAATGAATGCCAGAGTCATTGTCTTTGCTTGACATAAACAACCTCATGACCTAACACAGATAGCTAGGGAGGCAGAGACCGTCCTGGGGAAAGGGGCAGGACATCTTTCCTCTCTCCCCTTTCAGAAGAAAAGGGAAGCTAATATTTCTTTTTCTGTCATGTGAGACAGAAGTGGAAGCAACACACTCTGTCAAACCCTGCTTTCCACAGGTGCTTCATTTCCTGTTCTCAGAAGCCCAGTGTTGCCACACAGACAGGGATGAGTAGCACCTACGGTCCCCAATTAGTTATGCAGAAAAGTACTCAGCAGCCATTCATGTGCTCAGTTAATGCAACTATGAAGAAGAAATGTCCCCAAGAGGATCAGACCCAACCTTTGTCCCATAGTCACAAGCACTGAAAGCAAAAATGTTTCTAGACTACACTTAAACGCATCTGAGTTTAGTATCAAAGCCATTCATATTCCAATTGTAAAGTCCAACTGATGCTAAGGAATGGGGTGTTTGCCCCCGAAACTCAGTGCTTGCCCACTGGGACTCTGGAAGTGGACCGAGGTGGTGCCTTGAGCCTATGGACGTCTCTACCTGGTCCAGCAGGTGTAGCCGCCTCACATAGGTCTCCTCGGTGTGCAGGAGCTCCTGGGCAATGTGGAGCAGCTTCTGGGGACTGCAGCACTGCAGAGAGAAGGGAAGCAAGTCACTGGGGGTAGGGTGGAGAAATGCACGTAAGTAGGGCTTACAAATGAGCAGGGTCACTGACTTGGCCAAAGGAGTTCACGGGACCTGGGCTACGGTGCTGAATTCTCACAGACGCTATTTTCATTTCTGCCAATCCCCCAAAGTGACTGTAGCCCAGAGATGACTCTACCTTCCTGGAACTTTCACTTAGCAGCTTCAGCACCCACATCAAAATCTGCTGCAGGGCTGGAGGTACAGTTCAGTGGTACAGTGCTTGCACAGCATGCACAAAACCCCGGGTCCCATCCCAGCACCACCAAAATACAGAACAGTGACATCGGCAAGGACAGTGGCAGGCTAGGAAGCAGCAGGCCCTCCCTCCCCACAAAGACACGGATTTGACAGCAATATGTGGACCAGAAAACCTTCAGCGGAATTCCAGAGACCAGTCGGAAGCTATAGCACCCATGATTGCAAACTGAGGAAGAGACTCCAGGGAAAGAAAAAGAGGCGACATTTGGTGTACTTGTCTTAGTCCATTTGTGCTGCAGATAACAAAATACCTATGAATGGGTATTTGTAAACAATAGACATTTATTTCTCACAGTTTTGGAGACTGGAAGTCCAAGATCACGCTACTTGCAGTTTCAGTGTCTGATAAAGGCCAGGTCTCTGTTTCCAAACCTCTGGGACACCTGTCCTCATATGATGGAAAGGGTAGAAAGGCAAAGAGGATAGCTAGGGGGTGCTGGGTCCTCGTGAAGCAGAAAAGCAGAAGAGAGTGAACCCATGAATTCCCTTCCTTCCTTTAATTTAATTTATTTTTTTCCAGGTGGGAGAATCAAGCTCAGGGTGTAGAACACTCTAGGTAAAGCCCTACCACGGAGCCACCTCCAGCTCCTCCTCCCTTCCTTTTCTAAGAGCCTTGTTTCCATCTACAAGGGGCCTGCCTGCCTTCATCACCCATCACCTCCTAAAGGCCCACCTCTTCGTACTATCACATTTGTAGCTAAGGTTTAACCAGTGAATTTGGGAGCACACGTGCAGTCTGTAACAGCAGGGCATTCTTTGCAGCTGGGAGGTCACAGCCCATACCAAGGCTCCTCCCACAGAGAAAAAACAAAGAGTTAACCATGCCTCCCTGGTCTGGCTTGTCTGAAGCCTGCCCAAGAAACCAGTCTCTGTTTTGTATAAGCAGAGTTTGCTCATGAGACCAGCACCAGAGTGAGAAAGCCACTGAAAGCAAAGGCTGACCTAGGTCAGCAGACAAGTGGCAAGGGAGCAGGAGATCAGAGAGGACAGGAGAGGCTCCAGGACCTTCAGTGAGGCTGTCTGGTGAAGCTCTGCCCCTGCGTCAAACCAGCGCACAAAGACTGGAAGAAGTGGTTTTTTTCAGATCCTAACCAATAAAAGTACAAGGCATACAAAGAAACAGGAAATATGATCCAATTAGAGGAACAAAATAAAACCCCCAAAACCAATCTGATGAGACAGATCTGTGAATTACTTGAGAAAAAAGTCAACACAGTGGGATACTGTGTAAAACTGCTAAAAGAGAACATAAATAACTAAGCAAAATCTGGAAACAATGCATGAACAAAATGTGTCATCCAAGAGATTTAAAAACTATGGAAAGAATGAAACTCATTCTGGGACTGCAAAATACAATGCCTGACCTGAGAAACTCGTAAGAGTTCAGTGGTGGATTTGACAAGAAATGTTCTTTTGGCGGGGAGGGGTCCCGGAATCAAACTTGGGTCCTTGCTTTTGAGAGGGAGGGGGCGGAACCACTGAGCTAAATCCTCGGCCCTCAGTGGTGGATTTGATTAGGCAAAAGAATCAGCAAACTTGAAGAGTGGTCATTTAAAATCACAGAGTCAGAGAAGCAGAACAATGGAGAAAAAAGCAAACAGACCACAAGGGACTCATGGGACACCATCAGATAAACCAGTCTATGCATGTCCAAGGCACAAAGGATAAAGGAGAGAATGGGACAGAGAATTTATTTGAAAAAATAATGGCTGAAAAATCTCCAAATCTGAGGAAATGGGCATGCAAATTCAAGGAGCTCAAAGAACTCTAACTAACCAAATGAATCAACAGAAAATGACACATAGATAAGCTATAATCAAACTGTCTAAAGTCAAAAACAATCTTGAAAACAGCAAGACAAAAGTAATCTGTTACACATAGGGGCTTCCATAAGGTTACCAGAGGATTTCTCGTGGGAGATTTTACAGGCTAGGAGGGAGTGATGATGCAGTCAAAGTGCTAAAAGGAAAAGAAAAAAAAACAAAAACCAACTCAACTAGGAATACAGTGCTGGGCAAAACTGTCCTGAAAAAATACAGGAGAGGGATGGGTGTGGCTGAGTGGTAGAGCACTTGACTAGAATGTGGGAAATCCTGCGTTCCATCCCAAAGACTAGGAAGAGAAGAAAGAGGAGGACCACGGGAAGGGAACAGGGAGGGGGTAAAGGACAGGGAGGGGGAAGAGAAATGAAGGCTTTTCCAAATAAACAAAAGTGAAGAGACTTCATTACCACTACATCTGCTAAAAAAAAGGATGATAAATAACATAAACCATACTTAATGGCTAAGGATATTGCTCAGTGGTAAAGAATTTGCCTAGTATGTACAAGACCTGGGGTTTAACCCCCAGCACCACACACATACAGATTTAGATTGGCTGAATGCACTAAAAATACTAGTACCCAGCTATATGCTATTTACAAGAAACTTACTCACTTTTGGTATAAGGACGTACATGAACTGAAAGTGGAAAGAATAAAAAGAGATATTCTGTGCAAATGGTAACCAAAAGAAAACAAGAACGCTCATATTTGTAGCAGGCAAATGGACTTCAATTTTAAAAGTATTACAAGAAGCAAGGGCATTGTATAATAAAAGGATCAAGTGACTGAGAAGATGTAATAATTGTGAATACTTATGCACCGAGCCTCAGAGGTTCTAAATATATGAAGCAAATTTTGATAGACTTGAAGGGAGAGATAGGTCTCCAGAAATGGAAAGTTGGGAATTACAATGCCTTACTTTCAGTGATGGATGAAATAGCTATATAGAAGATCAATATGAGCCTTGAAGAAAACTACAAACAATGATGCTTAACAGAAAAATACAGAACACTCTGCCCAACAACACCATAACACACACTGTCCTCAGGTGTACCAATCTTAATGAATTCAAGAAGATTGAAATCATCCAAGTATCTTTTCTAGCCACAATGAGTGAAACTAGAAAACAATAATACAATGAAAATCCTTTGATATGTACAAATTAAATAATATACCTTTAAACAACCAAAGGGTAAAAGGAGAAGTCACAAGGGAAATTAGAAATACATTGAGACTAAATGAAATTACAACATTCTTACAGACTGCAGTGAAAAGTAATGCAAAAAAGAAATTTTATAGCTGTAAATATGTACATTAAAAGAAAGATCTTGAATCAACAATATAAGTTTACATATCAACAAGCCAGAGAGAGGAGAGGAAGTTAACCCAAAGCTAGCAAAAGGAAGGAAACAATAAAGATGAGAACGGAGATAAATGGAACAGAATGGCAAAACGATAGAGAAAAAAATCAACAAAATTAAAAGTTGGTTTTTTGAAAAGAACAGAGTTGACCTTTAGCTAGTTGACTTAGAAAAAAAAAGATTTGAATAACAACTCAGAAATGAAAGAGGGGAGATTAAAATTGACACCATAGAAATTAAAATTTATAAGAGATACCAGGAATAAGTGTATGCCAATGAATTGCATCACCTAGAGGAAAAAAAGAAGTGCATAGAAACATACAACCTGTAAAGGCTCAATCACAAAGAAATGGAAACTCTGAAAAGATCAGTAATACATAAGGATGTGAATCAGTGACCAGTAACTTCCTAACAAAGAAAAATCCATGTCCACACGGCTTCACTAATGAATTCTATGGCAGATTTAAAGAAGAATTAACACAAATCTTCCTGAAACTGCTCCAGAAATTTGAAGAGGAGGGACTGCTTCCAAGCTCTTTCAGTGAAGCTAATGTTATCCTGATTCAAAACTGTAGAAAACACTACAAGGAGACAAAAACACAGGCCAATATCCTTGAGAGCTTGTTTGGAGGTTCTAGCAGGGGGACGCAACTACTCTTATACCCTTGACTGACGAAACGGTCCTCCTCTATGGGGGGTGGTCATCTTCTTCGACCAAGCGCGCAGCTTCAGAGGGGACGCACATGTATCGGTGAGGGAGGGACACTCGCCTAGCCAGCCAGATCAGCTGAATCAACCCTGGCGATCAATGAGGTGATAGATGTCATAGCCAGATCTCCCTCACATCCCAGGCCAATATCCTTGATGGATATTCATACCAAATTTCTCAATAAAATAGCACTAGGAGGGCCGGGGATTTGGCTCAGTGGTTCTGCCACCTGCCTCACAAACACAAGGTCCAGAGTTGATCCCCGGTGCAAAAAAAAAAAAAAAAAGGAAGGAAGAAAGGAAACCAAATTTATATTGAAAGGATGAAGCCCAATGTATGCGTTCAGTTTACTCTAGAATGCTTCTATGGTTCAACAGACAAAAATCAATCAGCAAAATATATCACACATTAAACAGAATGATCAAAAAAGACATAATCACAATGGATGTAGAAAGTGCATTTGACAAGATTGAACACCATTTCATGATTAAAAACACTCAACACACTGGGAATAGAAGTAAACAACCTCAATATAATAAAGGCATATATGAAAAGCCCATAGCAAACATCCTACTCAATAGTGAAAGACTAAATGCTTTTCCTCTAAGGTCAGGAACAAGACCAGGTTGGATGTCTACTTTTGCCAACTGTTTTTCACATGGTACTAGAATCCTAAACAGAGCAATTGGGGAAGAAAAATAATAGAAATAATTCCTCCAAATTGGCAAGGAAGTAGTAAAATTAAATCAGCTCACACATGATCTAATCTTATATGTAGAAAATCTAAAGACTCCATACAAAAAACTGTTAGGAGAAATGAACTAGATCAGCAAAGCCTCACTAACTTCTGGGGTACAGTCGCCTTCAGGAATGACTGTCTCCTGAGCTTCCTGCTCACCCCTGCTGTGCCCACAGCACCAGCTGTTGCAGGGTGGGGGACAACACAAGGCATGGTGAGCTCATGTCCAGGAGATGGCTGCTTGTCATCAGGTGGAGCCATGTCCTGCCCACACCAGGATGAGAATAGGCTGCCCTGAGCCAGGGGTAATCATACGAATTCATACGAATTCATACAGAACTGCCCTGGAATGGTTTGGCCTGAAGGAGAACCTGGGAGAAGGTGAGGAGCTCAGCTTGGAACAGCTTGATCTCAGTCACTTAATTCAGCACCTTGTGCTTCAATTTATCTATTTGTAAAAGAGACCCTGCACCCAGGCCCCCCATGTGTGACCCTGAAAGGACACATGAACTAGTAGTGGACCTCAGTACTCTCCGTACCTTACCCCACATGCACAAGGCACAGAAATTAAAAGTACTGAATGTTTTAAGTCTAATTCAGCCTCAGTTATTTTATTGAACTCCTTCTATGAATACAGAGTCTGTGGTAGGATGCAAAATGATTTTGCCCAGAAGCAGTCCCTTCCTGGGAATGGGCTCACCCTTCCCTCTCCTCTACCTGGCCCAGTGCCCTTATAGGCCCCATGGGAATGGGAGCCTCATGCCTGGCCTAGGCTACCCCATGCATACTCCAAGAACTGAATGAGTTCCTGACCAAGAAGTGTACTGGATTACATCATTAATCTTTCCATAGTGCCTTTCCTTAATTATTTTCAGCTTTTTCTAACTAATTTTCATGGTACAGAGCTTGGATTTGCTGATTTAATATGTGTGTACACCTGTGTCACCATCCCCCATCAGGATCCCTCTTTCTACCTCATGTATATTGGATCTGAAATGTCCCCCAAAGGCTATGTGTTAAAGGCTTGGGCCCCAGCACGGTGCTGCTGGGAGCCTTAAGAGGAGGAGCCTAGCGGGAGGTCTTTGGGTCATTAGGGGTGTGGCCTGGAAGGGAATTGTGGGATACAGCCCTGTCTTTCTCTCTTTCACTTCCTGGCCACAAGGCAAGTGGTTTTACTCTGTCACCTACTCCTGCCAAGATGCATCACCACAGGATCAAAGCTAGAGGACCAACTAATCATGGACTGAAACCTCTAAAACTGTGAGCCAAAATATACCTTCTCTCTTTCTAAGTTGATTATCTCAGGTATTTGCAGTGATGGAAGGCTGACTCAAACAGGATGAAACGCAATGTCCTGGGCTCCTGGACCGGTGCTTCCTCAGAGGACCACCTGGAGTGTCGTGAATGGTGTCCTAACCCTGTGCCCCAAAATGGAGAAGACAACCTGTTCTCATTAGTGACGGAAGCATGTCTTCCTATTACAGACATAGAGACTTGGTCCTGCCCCAGATATAAGTAGATAAACCTAGGGGTCTGCATTTTTCCAATCATTTCTTTTCCATATTCTGATACCCATGTTTATTAGTACATATTTGCTGTATATACTGACTACATTCCTTGTGGGGAGTTGGCGCATGTGCGTAACACATCTTAATTCTTTTTAAGTGCCCTCCTCTCCCTCCCCCCTCCTTCTATCTCTGGTTGACCTTCCCACTTGTTGGGGATCTATTCTTCTATTTTGTATTATTTATCTTTTATTTTGCTCTTTAAATTATTTACACTTTAGGCTTGTCATATAAGAGAAGCCATGCAATATTTGTGCTTCTGTGTTTGATCTATTTCACTTAACATTATGGCCTCAAAGTTCATCCATTTTCTTACAAATTACTCTTATTTATTTTTCTTTATGATTTAAATAGTAGTTCATTGCGTTATAAATATTTTTTGTATCCATTCCTCTGTTGGTGGGCATATAGGCTGCTTCCAGGATTTAGCTATTATGAGTTGTGCCGCTCTAAACATAAATATGCATGTATCACTATAATATGATGTTTATATTCTGATACTTTGACATCTGGGCCTTGCTGGCCCTGGAGAAACTGCCCTTCTGGAGAAACAGCCAACTCCTGGAGATAATAAAGGACTCAGCTCTGGTCACATTTTTCAAATGCAAACCAACTGTTACGGTATGCAGGCTCAAAGTTGCACAAATGAAAGTCTGCTTTGAGAAGGGAGCCCTAGGGTACCCTGCTGTGTAGGGCCTTGATTCCCTGAGATTTGATTCACAGTACTCAGCCATCCAGGCCCTCAAGAGGTGGTTGTAGTCCGTGATTCAAGGAGGCCTGACTACTGCTTAAGCAGACCTTGGCTCCATTCACATGGTGCTGCTTTTACCGGCTCACAGAATACAAAAGTCGTGGCATCAGGAAGGCTTCCACCCAGATTTCAGAAGGCCTGGGAGGACATGCAGTGTGCCCCTGACAGGGCAGTGCATGAAGCTGTGAGAGTAAAGCCGAAAATGCAATAGAGACCCCAGAAAGTTGGCGAAGCCAGGAATGCATAATGTTTGCTGAAAGGCTGAAAGCAGTGAACAGAGTCAGCCAGAGGGGTAGGACTGCACAGCCTTGAAGTTTGCAGTTCACCACAACTTGCTGGACAAAGAGCTACAGGATTTAATGTTTGCCCTGCTGGGTTTCTGTCTTGCTTTAGTCCCCTAGGTTACTATCCCCCTGATTCTCTCTTTTAGAATGGGAATGTTTATCTTGTGCCATTGTACATTGGCAGTGTTTAACTTTCTTTTTTATTTTTTTCAGAGGCTTGCAGCTAAGAGTTTGCCTCAAGTCTCAGAGGAGACACTGGACTTGGGACTTTTTAGCAATGCTGACACAGGACTTTGACAACTCTTAGAGTAAATGCATTTTGCATAAAGGGATTCACATGAGTCTCCTGGGGACCAGGGGTGGAATGAAATGTGTCTAGATGTCCCCCAAAGCCTCATCAGTCATAGGTGGGCTTTAGCTGAGTGGATCATGGGGACTAATCATCAGTGGAGTTTACAGCCAAATATGCTGTTAGGAGGCAGGCCCCCTGGTCAGAAGAGGTGGGTTACTGGTCTGGAAGGGTCTATCTTCCTCCCCAGCTCCTCCTTTCACTCTCTACTTCCTGGCTGCCATGAGGTGAGCACTTATTCCTCCACCATGTCCCTGTGCCGTGCCATCCTGCCTCGGAGCCAGCTGACTATGGTCTGAAATGTGAGCCAAAATAAATCTCTCCTCCTTAAATGGCAGGTGTCCAGTATTTTATCCCAGTGACAAGGAAAGTGACCAAGACCCCAACCAGCCTAACCCCACACTCCCACTTCCTCTCTGGGGCTCTTACATTCTGAGCTATTGGCCATTGGCCCTCATCACTGCAGGACTAGATAGCAGGACAAAGGAGGAGACCTCTGCCCCCAAGCTGCTGACATTATTCAAGCCAGCAATCCTGAGCCTGCTCACCCTGTCTCTCCTGTTCCTTCCTGAGAAAACCACTACGAGGCTCCCACCCACACTCCCGTCTTCTTTTTCTTTCCTCCCACGCTCCTCACTGACCCAGGGCTCCCCTATGTGACCTCCATGGCATAGTGTGCCCCTCCCATTGGGTACTGGAGCATCGAACTATGTTTCCACTGGTGGTTGTCACCTGATCTGTTGGCTGACTCGGTTCTCTCACCTGTGTGACACATGGACCCAGCCTTCCTTTTGCAAAGATGGTTCACCGGGCCAGGTCCTGGCTTCCCTTCCCTGTCAAGCTCATTGTCTCCTGAGCCTGCTGGATTATCAGCAACCTCACTACCAGGAGCTGGCAGGCCCAACCCAGTCACACATCTCCTGCACCAGTCGCCTGGCAGCACGCCCACACCCTGAGGAGCATAAACACCCATCCTGAGCCACATCCTCGGGTGACTCTGGAGGGGTACCAGGCTGCCCATGCCTCAGATTCCCCAGTGGTGCTCACACTTCCTTCCTCACAGGAGTGCTGCAAGGCTCACAGCAGGCACAATGAAGAGGGCAGCTGTGGGCAGCATCACCCATTAGACTGACCATCATCCCTCCTGTGGTGCAGGCATGGATACTAAGGCTCAGGAGAGTGTCCAAGGTGTGTGGGTGTGGCCTGAACTTTTCCCAGCAGACTCCATCCCAGGAACCTCCTCTAGTGAGAAGCAAGCTTGTGTACTTTCCTCTTGTGCATGGGTACCGCCCACCACAAGCTTTAAGCTCCTCCCACAGAGGGCTGGGAGTGAGGAGAAGGAGCCTACCTGGGCCAGGCCGACATCCTCATCAGCCCTGGAGGGCTTGTTCTCGGGATCAGGATCCTCACCCATGTCACTGTCAGCCTCGTCCCGCGGGATGGCCTGTGGGACCTGGCTGCCCACAGCTGTCTCAGGCTGCAGCCCCAGGCCAGTAGGATCTGGGGAGGCCTCACCACCATCTTCACAGGGGAAGTTCTCGCTGGCCATGCTGGAGGACGGGCTGTCGATTCCACTGTCCCGGTTGGGAATCTTCATGCTGCTCAGTGCCCCCAGGGGGCCAGGGTCTGAGGAGCTGTCATCTGCTGTGGCAGGCCTGCCACCATTCCCTCGGTGGGCACCAGGCCCAATGGGAAGGGCTCGGAGCTTCCCCAGGGAGGAGCTGCCAGGTCCAGCATTGGGTTTCCCAGGAGGAGAAACAGCTTCTGGGGGTGCTGAAGACCCTCCACTCAACTCCATCCTAAAAGTTAAAATCACTGGGCTCTGGGTGGGGGCTGGCCAGGGGCTTCCTGTGAAGGAGAAACAAGCCCAGCTCAGTGCAGCTCCCCTAAACCACCTGTTATAGTTTATATCTAGATGTACCACCAGAGCTTCATGTGCTCATAGGGGGCTTCGGGGAGGTGAATGGATGGTGGAGGTGGGTCACTGTAGGTGTGGCCTGGAGATAGATATATAGATATATGCACACGCGTGCGCAAGCACGTGCACGCACACACACACACACACACACACACACACACACACACACACACACACACACATATAGGGACTGTTTCTCCTCTGCCATGCCGCTCTGCCTTGGAACCAGCTGACTACATACTGAAACCTCTATCCATTGTCAGTCAAAAGAAACCTCTCCTCCTTTAACTTGTGGGTGTTGGATATTTTGCCCCAGCAATGAGAGATTGATTAAGACACCACCCCCAGCGAAAGTCTAGAGGTGGCAAGCTAGAGCTGTGTCAGCACCCTGGTCAGTTTCAGCTGGGTCCTAGCTAGATAGGCTTTCAGAGAATGGCTGGTGTTTTATTTTAAAAATAAGTTTTGCTGGGTGTGGTTGTACACACTCATAACCCTAGCACTTGGAAGGCTGAGGCAGGAAGATTACAAGTTCAGGGTCACCGAGGCAATTTAGCAAGAACTTGTTTCAAAAAAAGTCTCATATATTAAAAAAAAAAAAAAAAAA